TCCAATATATTTTATGAGTCTTACCTTTTATAAATTATGATACTAAATGAATATTGAGTATATATTAAATCAGTTCAAAATAAAGGATTTATATTAGATGAATAACTTAAAGAACTAAAATTTCTAATATTTAATTGTTTAGAAGGGATTTTGATTTGATAGTTTCTTTTAAAAAACCCGTTAGAGTATACCTTAAATACATTATCTTAAAAGATATGTACCAACTACCGTCTACTCGTTGCTCTTTTACAAAATTATATAAATTTTGATTTAGATCCGCGATAACCTATTTTATTTTCATCTATCTTATGACTTGTTACCATACATGGGTCATTACTCCATCCACTCATAGTCTTTCGATTATGGTTTGGTATCATAAGCTTTAAGGCTTCCCCGGAGTTTGATAGTTTAATCCCAGTTTTATATATTTTTCCCAAAAATATTTAGCAGGATCTCCTTCCATATAACCTATGGCATATATATGAACACAAGCTGATACCACAGTAACTAATAAAGCCATAGATACTGTTAAACTATCCATATATATACCCCAATTTATTACTAATATTTCTGAATCTATCCAATTCATTAATTTTAATTTTACTGGTGAACCTCCTATACCTGTTTCATAAAATACTATACAAGATAATAAAGCAGCACTTATTAAAGCTATACCACTTATTATATGACTTCCTTTTACTCCTATTTTTCTACCTAATAATCCTGATATTATTCCACTAATTAATGGTAAAATAATAATAGATAAATACATTATATAAATTATATACCCTTCCTTGTTTTCTTTTAATTTTTTTTTTTTATAATATATTATTATTTCTTATATATAATTTTTAATTATATTTTTATAATAATTTATTTTTTTTTTTTAATTTTAAATAAATATGTTTTATATTTATTTTTATTGTTTCTATTAATTAGAATAGCTATTTTTTTATATTAATTTTATATTAGAAAATAAAGTTTTAACATTTTTCTATAATATATAGAATTTTTTATTTTATATAAAATTATATCTACTTTTTTATAAAATATTTTTGTTTAATTTTTAATTATATATTTTATTTAAGACATCTATACAAATAAACATAAGTTTAATAAATAAAATATATAGATGATTAATACTTTATATAGTATTTTATACTTTATAATTAAAATATTTATAAAATTTGTAAATTATATAAAGATATTGTAAATGTATTATAAAAATTTATATAAATTTTATATTATAATATTATTATAATATTTAAGTAAGAAAAAGTATAAATTTTAATAAAATATTTTTATTATACATAGTGGTAAATTAGATAATATATGATAAATTAAAGGGATAAAATAAAATATATAGAAAATATTTATAAAAAATTTATTTTTATTTATTTACTTTTTTACTAATAAGGTAATAAGTATTTTAGTATAAAAATAAATAAAATATTACTTAATCTTATTTATCTTTATATATTTAAATTTTCCAAAGGATTTATATTTATAATTGGAAAATTTAATATAAATGAGGCTATAAAATATTACTTAATAATTTTTTCTATTTTATTTATATACCTTTATATAATACCACTTGTATTTTTATAGCTTATCGTCGATGGGACAGTCATTTATAATACATTTATACTATATTATATAGTATAGCCATTTTAATCCGTAGAAAAAGAAAATTAAATAGGTGATAAATAAAGCTAATAGTAGAGACAGCAATATAAAGTAGAAGTAAATATAAAAAAAAAAATAATAAAAAAAAATTTTTATTTATTTTAATGCAATAACATATAATATTATATTTTATCTTAGTTATAATAAAAATTATTATAACTTTTTAATAAAGATGTATAATTATATAATATTTTATACAGATTATTTTTAATAATATATTTTTGTAATAATAATTTTAATAAAATTATTATTTTTATATTGGTTATTTTTTATTTTTGTAAAATATTATTATAATCTAGATTGTAATAAAAAAATAATAATAGGGGATCTCTAAAAAAAAAAGCTATTTAAAAAGTTATAAATTATAAAACCAAAGTTATTTTTAGGAAATAGATGATATATGATAATAATTTAAAAATATATATATTTTATTTTTTTTTTTTTCAAAGGATTTATTTCTATAATTTAAAATCTAAATATATATTTATAATGAATTAATGTATATTGCAATAATAATTAACAACTAAAAAGTAAGAAATAATAATGTAAGTAAAATAATTTATAATTATAAAATATAATAGATTATGGAGTACAGGATATACTAATTTACTACTTATACAACTAGAATAAATTAAATATAAGTAAATTAAAAATAAATTATATAGTGATTTATTAAAGAGATCATAATTTCTTGTAAAATTTTAATAAATAAATATATTTATTATCTAGAAGTATAAGTTATAACTTATAGTTATTGATACAGTAATATATTTATCTATTAATTTTGTAATATATTGCTAATAAAGATTATATTTGTAAAGATAATATTTATTTACTAATTATAAATTTATATAAAATATAAATAAAAATTAGTACTTTAATTATAGAAGATATTAATGAAAGGATGTAAAATAGTAATATATATAGGGATATATATAATAACTTAATACTAGATAAAATATATTAGAGTAAATATAAATTATATAAATGAGTATATAAATAAATTAATGAGGTACGAATGAATAAAATTAATATAAGTTAACAATTAATGTAATTTAAATAAATTAACGAATAAAGAAATGAATGAGTGAAATAAATAATAATAATTAATAAATAAGAAATGAATGAATGAAATAAATAATAGTAATTAATAAATTAAAAAATGAATGAGTGAAATAAATAATAGTAATTAATAAATAAAAAAAATGAATGTAATTAATGACGAATTAATACTTTATAAATTTATAATAAGTATTAAAAGGTACTTACGACTGAATGTATAAATAAATAAAAATAATAATAGATTAAAATAAATAAATGACAACTTGTAATTATTTAACAATATGAAGTAAATATAAAAGGATAGTTTCTAAAGGGAGAGTATGAATAAAATAAATTAATGAATAATAAATAATTCATATTATAATAATGGAATGAGTTAAAAGAATCTCTATATAGTAATTAATTAACAACTATAAATTATTAACAACTAAATACTAAAATAACAAATAAAATACTTAATAAAATATCTAACATATATATTTTACAATAATTAATAATGAGAAAAGTAGATAAATAAATAAATAGATACTTTATTCATATATTTAATATAAATTTATAGATGCAATATAAATAATAATGAATGAGTTAAATAATATATCAATAGATAAATTTATAATACATGCTTATCATTAATTGAATGAATTAAATATATAACAATTAGTTAATGAGTTATATTTCATATCACTAATGAGTAAAATAATATATTAATAAATGTAAATTAATGAAATCTATATGGAATAAACGTAATAATTAATAAATAACAAATAATGTAAAAAAAAAATAGTCAATTAAATAAGTAATTCCTTAGTTAATAATAATTATTATGCGATAAAATGTTAAATGTATAACAGAATAAATAATATATAAGTAATTAATATTATCAATTTATTATGAGTTAATTAATATATATTAATTAATTGACTAGTTAAAGGATCTTTAATAAGAATTAATTACAATTAAGTATTTAAACAAAAATTATTTATTATTTTAATTATATTAAATACAAGTATCTTATATTTCTTTACAATTTACGATATAATAAAAATAAGGTGACTAATATATAAAAAATTTAATGGACTTTATATATTATCTTAAACCTTTATATTATAATATTAAAAGTAACTATTTATCCATACATTAACTTAATTAATTTATACTTTAATATCTTTATATATTTGTACTATAAAATATTTTATATTTTTATTTAAATAACGGTTATAAAGTTTATCTTATAACTAGTATATAAAATATATAATTTAATTAATTAAATTATACTAAAGATATTAAATTATCAACAATAAATATTAAACTTATCTATATTTATATCCTATATTTTATAATTTATAAAATACAAAATTATAATTTTTGATATTATAAATTATTTTTTATATCTATAAAGATTATAGATCATTAAATTATATATAATAATCTAAAATAATTTAATATTTAGGTATCCTATTTTATTCAAATACATAGTATTCAATCTTATTTATTTTACTGATTGATTGTTTACCACTAAATATAAATTATAATTTATATTTATAATACATTTTTATTATAATAAATACTATCCTACTAGTTGTACTTGTATATAAAATTTTATCTATATTTAATATAATTTTAAAGGTATCAAATTTATACTATAAAGTAATCCATATAGATATATTATATAATTTTTATATAATACTAATAACCTTAATTTAATTTATAAAATAATAATTATATAACCCTCAGAGTTACATAAGATTATATATTTTTATATATAATATAAATTTATATATATTTATACTTATATTATTTTTTAAGGTAACTATTTCTGATTATTATTATATTTTTTGATTGTATTAATTTTTATATTTAATAATTAAATATAAAATAGTTTAGTGTGATAATAATACAATCATATTGTAATATAATAAGAAATAAATATATAAAAGTATGATATAATACATATCTATATTTATTATTCTTATAAAAAAATAATATATTACTATATCTTTAATTTTTCTGGTATACTATATTTAAATTTATATATTAAATTTTCTATAAAGAATAGAAAATTATATTAAATTTTATAAAAATTATAAAATTAATAATAAATAATAATAAACTAAAATATATAAATATAAAAAATATAACTTAATGGTATTAATAGAATTATTTAAAATATTTTAAATATAATAATATTATTTGTAATATTTTTACAAATAATATATTAATATAAGATTATATATTATATTAATATATAATTAGGGAGTTTAGCTTAATTGGTAGAGCACATATCTTACAAATCTGCGGAAGTAGTTCAAATCTACTAACTCCTAAAAAAAATTTCGTAAAGTAAAATTTAATAAATAAAGTAAAAATAATAAATGTTATATAAGTATCCATTAAGTAATAAATTTAATAAAATAGGTAATTGGAATACAATTACATATAATAAAAAAGGAAATAAAAATTTAAATAAAGAATTATATATAAATAAATTAATAAAAATATTATTTTTTAATAAAGCTTTAATAAGTACTCCTAGATTTTATTATAATTCTAATGAAGTAAGAATATATATGTTTATATATTATAATAATATAATATATAGACATATACATAAAAAATCAAAATATATAAATAAAAATTATATAAATATTATAAATAAAATTTTAACAGATATAATGGGTAAACCAGTTATTTTAAAAATTATAAGATTAAAAAGACCTTATTTAAATAGTGAAATATTTACTCAAACTTTAGCAATTAATTTAAGAAAAAAAAGTTTTAATTTTATAAGAAGAAAAATTTATAAAAAAATAAAAATAAATAAATTTCCTAATATATCTTCTAAAGTTTATAATTATAATATGATTTTAAAAAGATTACTAGAAAAAAAAATAATATCTAATATAAATGGTATAAAATGTATTCTTTCTGGTAGATTAACTAGAAGAAAAACAGCTAATAGATCTAGAAAATTAATATATTCTATTGGTAATTTCCATTTTAATTCTTCTTTTTCTTTTATTGATTATAAATCTAATATGGTTAATCCATTAAAACGAGGTATTGGAAAAAAAAGAATAGGTAATGGTACTATAGGTATGAAAATTTATATTAGTAATAATATAGAGGTAGTAGAATAACTTTTATATTATAATTAGTAATACTATTAATATAATATCCTTTATTACATAGTATAATTTATAATATAGTAATTTTTAGTTATTTTCATAATAAATAAATAATTATGTTAGCTTGTGCAAAATTAATCGCAGCTGGATTAGCTGTTTTATCTTTAGGTGGTACTTCAATGGGTATTGGTAACGTTTTCTCTTCTTTATTAAACTCTTTAAGTAGAAACCCTTCATTAAAAGGACAATTATTCTCTTATGCTATTTTGGGTTTTGCTTTAGTCGAAGCGATGGGTTTATTTGCTTTAATGATGTCTTTCTTATTCTTATATGGATAATTAATTCTCATATTATAATAACTATAGAATTATTTAATTTAGATTTTACTAGTTTTTTATTATGTAATATTATACCTATAAAAATTTATACTAATTTAACAGAACAAAAAGATTTTATATTATTAGAAAATAAAGCAAAATCGGGTATTTATAAATTTACAAATAAAATAAATAATAATTTTTATATTGGTAGTTCTATTAATTTATCTAAAAGATTAAGTCAATATTTAAATATTAATTTTATTAAAAGTAATAATTCTAAAATTTATAATGCTATAAATAAATATGGTTATGAAAATTTTAAATTAGAGATATTAGAATATTGTGATAAAAATAAATTATTAGAACAAGAACAATATTATTTTGATAAATATTTACCTACTTATAATATTTTAAAAACGGCTGGAAATTCTTTAAATTATAAACATTCAGAAGAATCATTAAAAAAGATAAGTATATCTAAAAAAGGAAAATATATGGGAGAAAAAAATTCTTTCTATGGTAAAAAACATACTAAAGAGACTAAAGAATTATTAAAATATTATGCATTATTAAGAGGTAAACCAGGTAATGCTATAACTATAACATTAAAAGATATTTTTAATAATTCAAAAATAGATTTTTTATCCATGAATGATTTATCTAAATATTTAAAAGCTGATAAAGCTACTTTAGCTAAATATAGAAATAATGGGAATCTTTTTAGAGGACAATACTTAATAATTAAAAAATAAATTTTTAATTACTTCTGTTAATCCAAAAATTCATTATAATGAATTTTTATTTTTATTAATCTCTCTTGGTGATTTCTGGATTAGTAGAGGCGATGGGGCTTTTTGCTTTAATGATGTCTTTCTTATTCTTATACGGGTAATTAATTCTCACAATATAAATATATGATGATGAAAAATATAAATTCAAATAATATTATAAAACTAGATCCATGGTTTATAACTGGTTTTACTGATGGTGAAGGTACTTTTTCTTTAGTAGTTAGAGTAAGTAAATCTTATAAATTAGGTTATCCTATAGTACCTGTTTATTCTGTATGTGCTTAAAAAAAATTCACATAATTTATTATTATTACAAAGCATACAAAATTATTTTAAGAATATAGGACATATTTATTCATCTAGTAATATTCTACGTTTTGAAGTACATAAATTAAAGGAACATATTATTATCCGAAATCATTTTAAACAATATCCTTTACAGTCTACCAAATTTATAAATTTTTCTTTATGGTGTAAAGCATTGGATATTATGACAACCAAGGAACATTTATTAGAATCAGGATTTTATAAAATATTAGGTATTAAGAATTTATTTCCTAAAGGTTTAAGTTCTACAATTAAAGAAAAATTTACTGCTATTCCTACCTATAATAAATCTCCATTTATATCTTCAACTGAATCTTTAAATCCGCATTGGATAGCTGGATTTGTACAAGCAGATGGTAATTTTGATCTTAGTATTACTAAATCAAAAAATAAATTAGGTTATACATGTAATCCTAAATTCAGAGTATCACAACATTCTCGAGATTTTGTATTGCTAAGTCGAATTTTAGATTATTTTTCAATAGGTGATATATTAAAACCTAATAATAATGATGTATGTGTATATTATATAGCAGGACTTAATAAAATAACTTCTACTATAATACCTTTTTTTTTTTAATATTTTCTATATGGTATGAAGGCATTAGATTTTCAGGATTTTTCATTAGGTATAGAAATAATGAAATTTGGTGGTCATCTTACAGAATTAGGATTAATAAAATTAAAAGAATTATCAACTAATATGAATAATGGTAGATCCGAAGGTTAGGTATAAACTGATGATTTCATTAGATCTTAATTTATATTTTTATTTTTTTTTTTAGGTTTTACTTTATTTATATTATTTGCATATTTTATGTTTTCCAATACTCCTATGAAGTATAATAATTCTTATTTATAAACTATTTAAAATAATTTTATTATAATAATATCTAAAATCTTGATATCTCCAAAAATAGAAGTATAAAACAATTAATCTAACTGTAGATTAATTATTGCATTATGTAATACATAAAACCATTTAATACATCATGAAAAAAAAACAAATTTTTATATAGTTTTGATTTGAACTTTAAAAAAATCCAAAATAATTTTAGTTTTAACTTAAAAAGACTAACTTATAATATTATGTTTAAATATAAAAAATATTTTTTTTTATATTGCAATAATAATATTTTTTATAGGAACTTATTATCTCTTTTTCATAGTAATAAAAACCTTATATATTGATTGGGGGCATATATATGCAGATGATGGTGAGAATAAACCAAATTTTTGAAACACAAAAATTAAATTTGAAACTACTACAGAAGAAATAGCAAAAGGTATTGGTTATTTAACCGGAGGTGGAATGTCTGGTTATGCTATTTATTACGGATTACGTACAGGTTTACAGGTGTCAAATAATTTTGGTGGAACACCTTTAGCAAAAGGTACTTGTGTTATTGCAGGGATGTTAACTGGTAGTTTATATGGTTTAGGGATTCATGCTATAAATAAAAGACAATTGGGAGAAGGAGGATTTGGTAAAGTTAGTATTGAATTACCAAATATAAAAACAAATATTAATGATAAACCACCGGAGGCTAACTCTTTTATAGAAGATAATCTATATATTTATATAAAAGAATGGTTATCAAATTTAAATATTAATCCTTTTTCAGATAATCCAGATTTAGCTTTATTATCAATAATTATTTGTATGTTAATTTTAACTATTCAATTAATATTAACTTTATTTTTTAGATATTTAATAATAAAAAATAAGGATTTTATATTAAATAAAATTAAAAATTATAAATATTTATTTATAATTATAAATAAATTAATTTTTATAATTGAAAAAACTTTTAAATTTTTTACTTATTTCATGTCATTTCTTATTTTTATCAATGTATTAGGAGCTTTGATATTTAGCTTATTTTTATTATCTTTTTTATTTCCTTAAATTTTTAATATCCAATGATATTAAAATTTATTCTTTCTTATTAAATTATAATTCTCTATATTATTTTTCTCTTTCTTATTAAATTATAATTCTCTATCTAATTTTTCTCTTTATCTATTTAATTATAATTCTATATCTTATTCTCCTCTATAATAATTTTCATTTTTTCATTATTTAAAATGTCATTAAAAAGTTTACATTTATCATTTGTAAATTTTTGATGGATACAGTCATTATAAAGTTTCTCAAAAATTTCCTTGTCCTTTATGTTATAAAATTCATTATTTATTAAATTTTCATTTTTTGTCTTTAAAATTTCAGTCATAATATTTTTTTTTATTATTCTCTAAAATACTCTGTATAAATAGAGTCCAGCTAATTATTAAAGTAGTAGTACCAAATGTTAAAGCTACTTTAGTATTACCTATAATTTTATTTTTATTTATATTTGAATTTTTTTTTAGTTAATATGTTTAATATTTCTTCACTATTTAATTCAATTAATTTTTTACTTATATATTTACTTTCTGAAAAACTCGCAGTTATTATGGTACCTGTAGAAATACATTTTAATAATTGATTTTCTGTTAAACTGAAAATTGATGAATTTTTAGGTCCAAAATGAATTATATTTTGATTTAAAAAATTATCTTCTTTTTTATCTATAGTATTTGAATCTTTATTATAATTTGTCAATTCATCTCCATCACAATGAATTGTTCAATAATTTACTATATCTTTTATAAACCAAATATTATTAAAATCAAATATTATATAATAAACCATATATAATATTATAAATAAAATTAAGATCCTATTTATCAATAAAGAAGGTAAAATTTTACCTTCTTT